ATAATAATTCAAATTTCACTCTGCATTAGGTCAGCTTTCCAATGCTCTACCTAAATACCTGAGGGTATTTTGGCTCATATTACAAGGTTAAAAGGTTTATTTTGGCTTACTGTTTTAGTCCATGATTGCTTGGCCTTGTGGCTGTGGGCCTGTGGGAAGCAGAACATCATGGTCGGGAAGTGCACAGTAGGGCAGAGCTACTCACTTCATGGCAGCCAAGAAGTAAAGAGAGAAAGAGGAAGGAGCTGGGGTCCCCATATCACCTTCAAGAACAGGCCCCCATGATCTAACTTGCTTTCATCAGGCCCCACCTCTTGAATATCCCATCACAATTGGTGACCAAGCCTTTCATATAAGTACCTTTGGGGGGCAGGTAAGGTCCTAACTATAGCAGAATCTAAATGTGTAATGAGTGAAAATGTAATACTGAACTTTAGGCTAAGGGAAGTTTTATGGAAACAACACATTTTGTATACGCCAAATTGCTAGTGACCTATCTTGACCAAGAGAGAGGCCATCTGTCTGGGAAAAATAAGTTGCATTCTGGGGTAAAATTTGCACAGAAATCAGCACGATGCAAATTTTATGGTCATTTGAATTCAGATGATCTAATTTGGGGTTTAATAATATAAGAATAAATTTACCCTCTTATAGGTAACAAATTATACAGTGCCCTGTATATTTTTAAATGAAATAGTTAAAACTATGAGGGGAGGCCTTTCCCTAGAATTCCAGTTTACAATGCACTTGACTGTAAAATTTTGTGTGACAGAATATTGCCAGTTAAAGAAGACAAGTATTAACATATTCACTGGGTGCATTTGAATACGCCTTATTGGAATTTATGGGAAACAAAATATCTGCGTCTCTAACTTTGCTTCTCAGGCAGAGACTCCCTCAGTGCACATCAGAGGTGAGAAGAGGTCATGGCCACAGTTCATGGACCATGCTTCTCACAGTCCACTGAACAACCCTTGGGATCACAGAGACCTCACTACAGCACCACTTTACAAAGATATTTTGTATTTGTGTCAGGGGAACTTATTTTTGCACACTTGTGAAGAAGTACAAGTAAGGAATTCTGATAATAGGCATAACACTTTGACTTTCATATCAATCCAATGGCAAGTTTAAATTTATAATTTGGTGATTAGTTCAAGCATGGTTTTGCATTATTTTCAATTAATTAAATTACTGTTACAATGTATTCAGATGAGAATATATTCGCAATTGACATCATGTTGTAAAATGGAAGATATGCACACCCTATGCTAACAATCTCAGTTTGGAATATATGCCCTAGAGAAAGATTTTGTTTTATATGCACCAGGAGATATGCATGCTTGCTTTGTTGCACTGTTGCTTTTAAACAGTGTTGCAAAAATCAGGGAAAAATCAGAATGTCTGACCCTATGAGAACATACAAAGGTATAGTGGTCCATCTGCATTGCGAAGTACTATCAAGTATTTAGGAATAAACATTCAGGCTTTTGTGTGAAGACAAGGAATAATAAAGAAATGATATATCGAGAAGGGAGAAGGGAAACGTTGAAAACCATGTAAAGGTAGATAAATTTTTTGTAAAATTAAATCCACTTAATATTTTATACTTACCCACATACTATATTCGCATATTTATATATGCATATATTTGTTATGGTTTGAATATGAATTGTCTGCCAAAAAGCTCATGTTTAAAAAGCATGATCCCCAATGCAACGAGGTTCAGAGGTGGGGCTTTTAAGCAATGATTATAGCACGAGAGCTATAACCTCATCTGTTATAGCTCATTAAATGGATTAATCCATTTAATGGATTAATAATTTGAATGGACTACAGGGTGGTAACTCTAGGCAGATACTGCAGAAAGTAGGGCATTGGGGTTGTGGCCTTGGGGATAATATCTATCCCTGGTCTGTTGTTTCCTTCTTTTTCTCTGCTTTCTGGTTGCTATGAGCTAAGAGTCTTTCCTTCTCCACACTCTTCTACTATAATGTTCTGCCTCACCTCAGTCCAAGATCAATGGAGTCAGTTGACCATGGACTGAATCTTTCAAAATGTGGTCCCCAAATAAACATTGCCTCTTTTTAATTGTTCTTGTGAGGTATTTTGTTTATAGTGACAAAAATCTAACATATTTTATCTTATTATTATGGTTTAGATATGAGATGTCCCCCCAAAACTCATGTGTGAGACAATGTAAAAAAGCTTAAGGGTGAAATGATTGGGTTATGAGAGCCTTAACTCAATCAGTATATCGATCCACTTGAATGGATTAACTGTGTGGTAACTGCAGGCAGTCTTTACTTCCTTGTGCCATGTTCTGAGTTGTTTTTTTTTTCACCACATTCTTCCACATTTTTCTGCCATTATGTCCTGCCATACCTTGGGCCTGGAGGAATGGAATTGGCCAAGTGTGTACTGAGACTCTGAAACTCAGAACCCCAGATAAGCTTTTCCTCCTCTAAAATGGTTCTTATCCCATCTTTTGGCCACAGCAGCAAAAGGCTGATTGAGACATTTTTACATGCGTATGTATATATATTTGGAGAGAGGTGTCTAACTTACAAATGCCTTGTATTTGGAGAGGGGAGGCAGACATAACAAAAAGACTGTGCTTAGAGGAGATCTTTTTCTATAACGTGTTTTTATAAGTAATTGGTATAGTAAAAATGAAAATATGCAGAATTATACTAGAATGAACTTTATCAAGGTATAAATAGCAGTTAATTTTTGATGTGGATTCTTCTGTCATTTATACCTTTCTGAGTTCTTCAGAAATTTCAAAATCTAAAGAAGGGAAATTGTTGATCCTTTTATATTTGCTTCCTTCTTATATTGTTGGAACCTCATTGCTGGGATCGTTATTAGGAGTTATGATTTTAAAATGAGAGGAGAGCCCTTTCTGTAACTATTAATTTAAAGCTTCTATTTTTATGGGAAGCTCATGGTTCTTAGCATGTATGGGTATGTAACTTTATATCTTGCATGTTTATATAAGGATATAGGGAGGGTCTCATATACCTTACAAATATTTCCTTCTAAATTTAATCTAATCACATCAAATAGCAATGTATTATGCTTAAACAGTGCATTCTATCTAATGAGGATATATTTCATGGGTTATTTAAAGATTTTACTGGAAAATAATAGCTCCTATGAAACTGTGCATATTCTACTAAAGTCAACACCAGAGAAATGTACAATGGTGAATGGGATTTAAAGATAGTCTTATAAAGGTGTGTGAATTAAGTATTCTAAGAACAATTATTTATGGTAGTAAAGAATTTTGATAAATTAATTAAGTGGAATTGTTGATGGTTTTCTACTATGGTAGTATAATAGATTTTGTCTTAGTTTTACTGATCCCAGTGACCTGTAAAATTTCCCTGATATAATTCCTCTCATGTCTCACATTTCCAAATAAATTATTTCATCTTTCATCTATACTCCTGCATTAATATTAAAAACTCAGTTCAAATTAGCATATCAAAATCGACACACATGGCTTCATGTATCTGAGCAGTCAAAAGCTAAATATGGCATCCAGGCATACCTGGGTGTCTCTTTTCTCAGATTTTGGCATTGTTTCTGCTTGGTCTTATTTTTCAAGCTGGGTCTTTCTAGTTTGGGCTGGATGGACATTAACATCCCTAGATGCTCATTTTCCTTGGAACTCTGAATTACGGCTAATGACTGTAGCTATATTTCTTGTAGCAGCCATATCAACACTCACAAGGTCCCCAACTTACCTTGCATGGTCTTGTATTTCCCAAGGAAGAAACAATGCATGTAGAGAGAACCAACTCAGCTGGTTGGCCTCTGTCACCCTATTCACAGCAGACAGAGGCACATGACTGACACTTCCACCATCATCAGTGGAATTAAGGCAGGTGGTTCTCCCACTGACAGAAGGGTCCAGGCAGACCAGTAATGAGGCTCATCGTATGAATATGATATTTGTGTGTTCCTCACAGATACTCTATGCTCTGGTGTTGTAATAATTCACTTGTTAATCCTCGCTGGAGCATCCATGCTCAGTTACAAAGATCCTACTCTGCTTATCTTTGTAATTCCAGTACTGAACATGTGGCATCTAAGTGACACTTGAAAATTCTCAGGCTGACTAAAGCAGTGTTTTCATTGCTGAACAAAAACATTGCTATGGAGAATTAATTACCTCTCAAACTACGGCCATGTGTCAGTTAATGATGGGGGTATATTCTAAGAAATGTGCCATTAGGTAATTTTGTTGTGGGGTGAATATTGCAGTGGGTGCTTAAACGAAGGCAGCTGTGATGTCCGTAGGTGACAGAATCTTAGGACTACTGTCATGTATGTTCTGTCATCAGCTGAAATGTTGTCATGCTCTTTCTGTAATTATCCTGTTGACTCACTTTCAAATTCCTTAGAAGACCATTGTATTGGGCTGGAGGTGTAGCTTAGTGGTAGAGCACATGCCTAGCACATGTGAGGCCCTGGGTTCCATCCTCAGCACTTCATAAAAATAAATAAATAAAATGGGGGTATTGTGTCCAACTACAACTAAAAAATAAAGCATATATATATATATATAATATGTAGAAAAATTAACTAATTAATAACTGACTAAATTCAATCAACAGTGCTCTGAGTTGATATGTGATCTTTAATATATGAATATTATTTACCAAACCAAATATAGTCAATTGGTATATCGCTGTATATAGTATATATTTTGGCATCAAATATTATCTAAAGTAAATGGCATTCTGCATCTTGACAGGTCTCTAATGACATTTTTTCTGACATTTTGAACTAGCATAGAGCACCAGATATGAATCATCTGCTATAAACAATGTACATATCTAATGATTAATGGGTGATGTGCACTAATCTTGTTTTAATTGTGTTTAAATTTAGTGCCGTATGTTTGGTTATAAAAAGAAATAGATTTCTAGAAATAATGACAGAATAGAAGTCAACATGTTGTAATTTTCTTCCCCTTTTTATGTTCCCAGAGACTTGAGGTTTAACAGAATAAGAGAAATTCCAGGGAGTGCCTTCAAGAAACTCAAGAATCTGAACACTCTGTAAGTACTTATTGCTAATCTGTGGGGTTCCTAAAATTATGACCTACTTGATTTGCAATTTACCATGAAAAGTCATTTTGAAAATAAAGAACAGTCTATAGAAGAATGAAATCTAGTTAGGGGACTTGTAACCAGCAAAATTCAGTTACTTTTTTACACAGCCAATATTTTTCTTTACTTCTGAACGTGGAAGATATTCCTCTTTATCTGTCATTTATATTTTACTTGCTTAGAAAAGTTTCTCAAAATGAAGAAACTGAGAGAAAGAGTGATTATATACCTTGTCTGTGGGTCCCCTGGCGAAAAAGCCATAGAATGGAATTAAGACTCATGACTTCCTGAGTCCAAAGCCCCTTCTCTCTCCAGTATATTGCTGTATTTTATTTACGATATCACAAGACCCCTATAAAATCACATAGAAGAGACAAATGACAATTTTATGGCTAAGCACTGATAATAATTTCCAGCGTTTAAAAACTTACATTTTATTTACGGAACAGCTATCCGTGATCTCTTTTGTATTTAGCAGTTTGTGGGCTTTGGATTCAGACTCAAATGTACCTGAATCTGCTGTGCTGTAGCTGATAGTCTGTCCTTGTGGAGTAGTCAGTCAACAAAACCCCCACTGTGTGGTGGCGGGATTGCAAATTAGTAGGAACATTTAATCAATAAAAGAGTTTCCTCAAAAGACTAGGCATGGAGCCACCATCAGACCTAACTATATCAATCCTCAGTATTTCATCCAAAAGAATTAAGTCACTATACTATAGAAATATAGGTATACCCACATCTATAACAGCATAATTCACAATAGCCAAGTTATGGAGCCAGCCTTATTGTCTGTTAACAGATGAATAGAATAGGAAAATGTGTTGTAGATACACAATGGATGAAAAAGAACAAAATTATGTCATTTGCAGGAAAATGGATGGAACTTGAGAACATTATGTTCAGCAAAATAAGCTGAACTCAGAAAGTCAGGAGTCATATAGTTTCTCTCATATATGGAAGACAGAAAAAGAAAAAGGTAGGGCAGCATCTCATAAACATAAAAGGGGGACAAATAGAGGAAGGGGTTAGGGTCGGGGAAAGGAGGAAAAGAGGGCAAGGGGAGGTACTGGGAATGAAAATGGCCAAATTATATTACATGCATGTATGAATTTGCCACGATGAATCTCACTATTCTGTATATATAACGCACCAATAAAACTTTTTAATAAGCCAAGTCATAGTACATAACTAATTTTTAAAAAATATGGTAAATGGAGTGCTTTGAACAATGATGACAGGAGGCTTAAAAGTATTAAGAGTGCTCAGTGTTTAAAATCATTGATTTTAACCCCCAGAGAGAAAACATTAAAAGTTAAGAATATCCAGTGTGGCTAATCCCATGTGAGTCCATTTGTCTTCTAGTCATAATATTCTCATAACAGAGTTAGCAATCTTATCAACATGGTTCGACTTCTCACCATATTCTGGCCAACTTATCCTTTCTAACTTTAGAGCTGAGATCATGACTTTACTTGTACTTTTCCCATCTGGTTCCTTTCCAATAAAAGATGCCTATATATACATATTTTATCATCATGTCTTCGGTTGGGAGGATATAAGAGCATAACAAAGTAGGGACTGCAGGATTTATATATATATATATATATATATATATATATTTTAACAAGCAAGCAATTCTTTAACATTATGCACAAAAGTTTCTTGGAGTGCTTGTGGACATGCTCCTCCCTCTTTAGCAGAGGTCTGATTTAGTGCCTCTTGGGGGACATCATGATTGAAGCCTTCTACCACTGTCTACTGAAACATGTAGATGATAAATAAGTATCATATTTATTTATGAAATTGCTAATATTACCAAAGTTTATTAATAATGTTATTTTATTCTTCATTTGAGATAGTTGACACTTAAAATTTTTTTTCTGAGAATAGCAAAAACTGATGATTTCTATTGCAGTTAGGCTATTTTGGAATTATAATGTATAATATTAGTGATTAGTGAATAATCCAGCTCTTCATTTGGAAGAAACTATGCTTATAATTAATTTTTGCTTAACTATTTTGATTCCAAAACCATAATAAAATGATTTAGTAATTAGTGTGAATGACAAACCTTGTTTTCTGCTAGTTGCTTTACACACATTATCTCCATTTTCTGCTACTATGTTCTGTGGTAGGTGTTATTATTTATAAAGAGATGAAGAGACTGAGGCTCATGACTAATGTAATTTACCCAAGTTCATCCAACTCAAGGGGCAGGCATTGTTCACCATAGTTTGATCAGTGAACTTTTGGACTGTGTAATTTGTGGTGACAGAATTCAGGAAAGCCATTTCCTTGGAGTAATAGATGGTAGATCACCTAAATAATAAAGTGTATGTGTAAGCGAGAGAGGGAAGGAGGGAGGGAGGGTGGGGGGAGGAGAGGAAGTTCAGGGTGGGAGGAGGAATTGTTCTTTTCAGAAAATGAGCTAAGAAATGAGACATTGAAAATTCCTGAAACTCTAGTTAAGAGAAGACCCAAGGGTCTTTACTAACTTATTGTAAGGGCAAAAGGAAATATGGGTCAAAATTTTAAAAATAGAGTGAAACATTTCATGTAAGAATATGAAAAAATCTTCACCATATGGCTCTGATACCAATAAAGCAATATTAAGTGTTCCCATGTCTCTGGGCTGCCTTTGTACCACATTGCATAGATGCTCCTTTGTTCTCCTGTGGTTTAAAACAAATGCCAACCACATTGGTCCTGTGTTATAAAAGGGAAGGATTTCTCAGGAACAGTTGGCATTTTGTATTAAACCCAGAGCTTGTTAAGAGGTTTATTTAAAAAAAAAACACCCTGGAAATATTATGTATTATCAAAGTCTATGAACTACAGGGTAAGCTCAAGGATCTGTTAACTAAACAGTCTGGATTTTGCTCCCAAAGTGCAGCCAAGTGAGACCTGGCAGAACTTGGTGACTCACCACGATGTGTCAACCTTCCAGTTTCTGGGTGAAACTGATAAGAGTAATATGCTTGGGAAGCAGACTGGAATTCCATGGTGGACCATTCAATTATGTTTATGAAAAAGATGCTTTCTGGCCCAGGGTAGTCTAAGTTCACATTGAATGTCCTCTGCCACAGATGTGGAAATAGCAAAGGGTAAGGGATCCTGGTTTCTTTTGGTGGGCAATAATATTTGAAACCAGAATCTGAATCATTAAATATGTAACTGTATACATATACATACACACACATATACACACACACACACATACACACACACTCACACACACAATCATGTGTTTATATTGATGCCTCCAGATCAATTCTAATGTCACATTGTTTTTCCCCTCTAATTTTCCCCCCATTCCATATTCGCATCTTTTTGGAATCCAACAGTAGAATATATTTACTTATTTAGTAATTTTATAGAATGCTCAAAATAGTTTCAGAACTATTTTACACCAAGCATGACATCACAACAAGTGTACTAAATTAACTGGAAAATAGCTGTGCGAGTCTTGTTTTCTTGTGTGTCACGGAGAGTGCAGTCAAAATGCTGTATTTAAATTACTCAAATTAATCTTTTCATTCCTCTGAGTTTATCTATTTGCTACATAATTATATTTGTTTTCCTTTACATTGATTTTCAGGATTTGTTTTTATCTTGTTTGATACATGGTTCGTCCTCCATTTCCATTAATTCTGTATCTCTGGATTCCACCAATCATGGATTAAAACTATTTGGACAAACAAATCACATTTGTACTGAACATGTACAGACTGTTTTTTCTAATTATGATTGCCTAAACAGTACAGTGTAAGGACTACTTATGGGGCATTTACATTATATTTGCTATATAAGTAAATTAGAAATGATTTAAAGTCTATAGGAGGATGTACATAGGTTATATGTAAACACGACACAATTTTATATAAGGCACTTATGCAGCAACAGATTTTAGTATGTACAAAGTCCTAGAAAAAAATTGCCTATGGATACTGAGGAATGACTTTAATATTGATGCAAAATTCAGAAATATATATATATATATATATATAAAGACACATGAAATCTTATTACTAACCTTATCACATTGGTAACCTTAGGTATATCCCATTAAAATTTAATATCCATTTTTATGATTTTTTTCTTTTGATATGTTTATATGTATACATGTATTTGATATATATATATATATAAAATATTTTGTTTTGATATATCTTCTTATTGCAGCTTCTTTTTTGCACAAAGGTGACATATTTTACTTTTTATTACTTAATGACATCTCCTGGACCTCATTCTGTTAATAGTTCACAGTCTTTATAGAAATATTTAAATGGCACCATTGTATTCAATTGTTCGAGTTCTGCATGGACATTAAAGTTCTCCCCAACTTTTTTGTTCCTACTAAATATTATGCATAATGAAATATCAAATTAACTTGTTCACATATTATCTTCTACTTGAAGGTAAATTTTTAGGAGTGAGGTTGGTAGATTAATGGGTCAATGCTTATACCATTTGTTGAATGTTCCTAATGCTTCCTATAGCAGGACAATTGACACTGTCACCAACAATGCATATGGATGTCTATTTCACTGTAGACTTGCCCAGGCAATGGTCACCAAGTTTTTAAATTTGATGATTTTTTTTGCTGATATAATAGGTATAAAATGATATCTCAGTTTAGTTTTAATTTTCATTCTCACATCTGAGTGAAGTTAAATCAATTTTATATGCTTAAAGGCCTTTTGTTTACTTTTTCCTGTGACCTGTCTGTTCGTGCTCATTGTCCTGTTTTATATCAGGAGTTGACAAAATCTTTATTTTAACTCTTTATATTTATTTAGCCTTTTTCTGCAATGTGTAGAATAAATATGTCAATTTTTAATATGTCTTTCCTGAAGATATTCTGTTGTTTATAGTACTAAAGTTTTAGTTTTTAAATTTTTCAGTAGTTAAATTTATGCGTACTGGGGCTGAGTTCTATGCGTAGCTCA